ATGTCCTTTTGTGTTATCTGTTGTTTTATGTTCATGTTGTAACCTACTTGTTGCCATGTTGGACAGGTCTCCCTTGAAAAAGAGATCGATGATCTCAATGGGACCATCTGGTTAAATAAAGTTTTTTTTTTTTTTTTTTAAAGAATTTTTTTTAAATCGCGGTATATTTTGTCAGTCTCACGACGGTATTGAGACTTCTATTTACCACGATATCGCGATATTCGATATATCGTTACATCCCTAATGATAACATATTTATCCAGTTTTGAGCAATGTAATATCTTACATTGGGGCAAATCTGCTCAAAAATGGTCATCATTCCCATTGTCAAAATCAGCTAAATATGTATTTAATGACATTAAAGAGTCTTAGATCACAATAATCTACATTGCAAACACCAGCACGTCGCTTTAAAACTTTAACAGATTGAGACTTTGTGTAACCGACTGGATCATGCATACTGCTAATGAATAATATCATCAATCCTGGCCAACCAGTGGCAACAAAAAAGGCACTTTCAATTCTAATTCTCCTGATGGATTTCATTGCAGCCCGGTTTGCAGCAGACGGCTGCAGTGCTCAATACTGGACCAATTTTTTTAAATACTTGTTCCCATTAGTCATTTAAGGCACAAAAATCCAGGTTAAAAATAAGAAAGGCTCCTTTTAAGCTAATCACTGTTCTCATTATACAGCCACTCTGGGGATACTTTGGCACATTTTATGATTAGGGAGTGCAAATGTTGTATGTGTATAGCATAGTAGTGAGTATGGACCTCTGCAGTGGCCAGGATGGCCTCCAGAGCGGCCTTCAGCCTGCTGTTGTCTGCTGCCGTCAGGCTGTCCCTCTGCTTCATCAGGCCCAGCAGGTCCAGAGCTTCAGCGCCGCACAACTTCACACTGTCTGACAGGGCTGAGACAAGGACACACAGGGCATTAAAGTGTGTAAAACATATACACAAAGGAAAGCACCACTGATAATATTAAATATAGATACACTTACAAGAGTTAAAGCTAACAAATGTGATGCTGCAAAATCATTCACACTTAATTGTCTGTTAAATTACCAAATCATTTCTTCTGTTAACTCTGATATGCATCAGCGCCACTAGCGGCTGCAGCTGCAGTGTTAATTATACTGATGACATCCCCTCAGGCAAAGTGTCAGCTGACAGCTGAAACAGCCGCTATGATCTGATAGGAGGAAGAGGGGAAACCAAAACTACAGCAGCTGCCCGCCTGTTTTTATAGCTGCAGGACAGACAACTGATGTGATCAGATTGAAGAAAAGCTTTTGAATGCTGCATTCAAATGTTTCCACAAAGTAAAACCTTCTGTTATATACGGTTTATGGATCAAACATAGGGTCAGCATTTATTTTCAGGGTCAAGCTTCAATTGTTGCTTCAGTTTGACCCAGTTTGGATTCTATGTTATGAAACTTGATTGTAGTGAAAGGACTGCAGGCCAGAGCTCCATTATATTTAGGCATGCTTAGACTGGCCCAGGCTGCTCACATCTCCCAGGGGAGCAAAACCCTGCAAACATCACACTGAAGGAAGTCAGCTACTTTATTTTACTTGTTTATTTCTAACTGCAGGACATTGAGATATAAACACTAAAACAAGATCTAAAACACTAACAGCAGAGATAGAGACGACAGTTTTGGCTTAAAATGCCAAACCTTACAGTACACGTATAACACATGAGGAGATATAAATTACCTAATGACATGTCACAACATGTTTCAGAAACTGACTTACCCACAGATTAATATCAGGAGATAATTATCACACACACACACACACACACACACACACACACACACACACACACACACACACACACACACACACACACACACACACACTCTTACCATCAGCTTGCTCCACAGGCACCATGTGGGAGGTGGCGCTGCCCTGAATGATGGTATCTCCCACCAGGTGGCCACACTGGGTCACCACTCGAACCAGCTCAGATACACCTAGAGGAAACAAGTGATTTTTTAGGATTCCCATTATTAACAAATACTAAAAACATACAACTATATATTTATGCTTCCTGCCCTCTCGCTTCAATTTATTTTGTTCTTTGATATTACTCCCAAATTTGAATTACACACTAGCTCAGCCCGCACACACCGGTTCTTCGTCCTCACAGGTGTTTCCACTTATTTTGACTGATTAGACCTCTTCTCTGGTTGGATCTGCACAGACATGCTTTTTATGATATTTCCCTCACTAGCTTCTCAGCTAGGTTGCACCTGCTCACTTTTTGAAATAGTGCATAATTCTCTGCATAGTTTCCCAAAGGCCCATCTTCAGTTAATCACTGGAAACACTTGTGTGGATATAATGGGATTTCAAAATGATAATTATTTTAAAAGTCTGTGGTTTCAACTACGTTAATCATGAACATTTTGAGTAGATAAACAGTTATCGAACGGCACTAAAGCATCAGTCAAAATGTCTGATTATATTTCATAATGTTGATACATACAGAATCTAAATCCACCTTTTTGTTTGCCGCTTTTAATAAATGAAATAATCTCTTATTTCTAACACAGTACTTATTCTTGTATTTTGTACCAGTCTTATTCGATGTTGACCCTATTTTTATTTGATTAATGACTGTTTTTTCATTCTATAGTGTTATTATGTTGCATGACGCCCAAGGGCATCTCATGATTCTCATTAAGTACTTT